GTGTGCGTGTGCGTGTGCGTGTGCGTGTGCGTGTGCGTGTGCGTGTGCGTGTGCGTGTGCGTGTGCGTGTGCGTGTGCGCGTGTGTGTGTGTGTGTGCGTGTGTGTGTGTGCGTGTGCGTGTGTGTGTGTGCGTGTGTGCGTGCGTGCGTGCGTGCGTGCGTGCGTGTGTGTGTGTTGTTCTTTCGTCAACCAACAGGACGGAAAGCTGCCCGGCTTCCCGGGGCCCGCTGCGGGCCCCGGGATGGACCAACCGGTCCCTTGGAAGGGGTGGAGGCCTCTGGGCCCTCAGACCCAGACCCCCTCGAGCAATGAAAAAATCACGACGGAAGGTTTTTCGTAATCTTCAGGGTCTGGGGGCCCTTGCCGGGCCTCGGGACCGTCAAAAAGCGGCTCAGGATGAAAAGCCGGTCCCAGGGAAGGGGTCGCAACCTCTGGGGGTCGACGTCATGAAAAAATCATGACGTCGGGGGTCTGGGGACCCTGGAGTCGTCATGTCTTCACAGCGGGCGTTTGCCCTCGACGTCGGGCCCTGGGGCCCTCGCAGATCGGTCCGGCTCGAAAAACGGCGCGGAAAGATGGGCTTCAGGGGGTCCAGGCGTGATTCTGTGCGATGTTGCTATTTTTGGGCAGCGTCGGATCTCAGGGGGGGTCCACGGTGTGAGAAGAACGCGAGGTCTGGGGTCCGGGTCCGAGGCTCACTGGAAGCCCATGGAAGCACTCGAAGGCAGTGGAAGCTCATCGAGGCTCGGTCCCTGGAGTCATCTGGGAACTGGCCCAGGGTGCAATGGTCTTAGAACATAAGCCCGATACGATAAAACAAGACAGGCTCCGCCAGAAATGTTCGTGCAAACCTCAAAAAGTTCTGAGAGCATTGCATTGTTTGGTAGGACTATAGAGAAGGGGGGGGGAGCATCCACCTGGAGTCGGCGATGGGCGATGCATCGCCGATGGATCGGCGATGGGCCCTCGAGTAGCGAGAGCGAATGTGGCTGGCAGGGGGGGGCTACCCAAGCCAAGATCGGCGATGCACGGGCACGAGGGGATCGATGGAAGCTGGTGGCTCGAGGCACCGGGGGACCGCTCGCCCACTGCTGCGCACCGCCCCGACGGGGCCCCGGAGGGACCCTCCCGGGGCTCCTCGAAGCTCTCCCAACGTACTTCCCTGCGTTTTCGGGACCGACTGCAGAGAACACCCGAGAGCGCACAAGTCTCTTCCGAGGGCTCCCGTGCTCCAGACATGACTGAATGGGGCCCTGGGACACAGTACACACAAATAAAAAGATTCCCCATATGTTCCCATATTTTCTGGGTTTCTGTCTTCCCCCCCACTTCCCACATTTTCGCATATTTTCTGGGAATCGACGAATAATTGTGTCTGTGTGTTTTTCCCCTCCTGAATGACGGGGGCATGAGACGCGATGCACAGGACACAGAAGCACCCTCGATTTTGCAGGGTCGACCTACTAGAATCAGACCCGACTGCAGATTCCAGCAGCGGGTCGCACCACGTGTCCCCCTCGGAAACTGTCATGGCATACCGGGCGGGCAGTCCCGCATCCGAGAGGCGTCCTGGGTTGCCAGAGCAGGCGAGAGACCTGGCGGTCCGACGCCGGCGCCCGCACTGGGGAAACCAAAAGGCACCGATACCGCCACTCCCCGGACCTCTCCCGGGGAGCGTTCTGACCAGGATTTGGAGGCGAATCCAGTGGTGGCGACGAGGGCCTCCCAGGAGGCCCCAAAAGGGGAAAACGGGGGGAGGGTAGAGGTATGGGTACCTTTTCCTCCTCCGACGCACGACATGCACTCTGAAGCAGAAAATCGGCGAGCCCCACCCCGTACGTGTACCTCTCGGCAGCGAGCGAGGGAATTGGATGAGAGAAGGCCTTCTCTGAAGGCTCGGAAGTCCCCTGGTCTTCTGAAAAGCTTTCTGAGCCTTCCCCGAAGAGAAAAAACTCTCAGAAGGCGCGAGGGCTTCTGAGAAGTCCCGCCACCTTGAGAAGGCCTTCTCCTTCTCGTTTCCCCCCTCGCTCGCCGCCGAACCTTATCATGCGGCACTGTACGGAACTCTCTCGCGCACGCCGTGGCACAACGGACAGGCAGGGGATGGCATGCCCTACTGTCGCTGCGCAGGGGGAGCTCTCTCGGAGGCAGTCACGGCTGGCCTCAACACCAGGCCCCTGGGGGTAGTCTAGGACGTGCAAGACACGGGAGGGGGGGGGGGGGGGGGGGCGAGACGAGGGAAGGTGGGTGGGGAGAGAGGGAGGAGGGGACGAGGGAAGAGGGAGGGGGTAGGCGGAAACGAGGGAGAGGGGGGGGGGGCTTTCACGTATGTCTTGGGGGCTGCTTCCCTTCTCGGTGGACGCCATCGCATGCGATTTTCTGCAAGACGGAAGCGGACGAGGAGGGGATAGCGGAGGAGAGCGGTGGAGAGCGGAGCGCGACCACCCAGACTCGACCCACGCGGTCCTGCGCGAATCAGGATGTCGTCAGGCAAACCTGTCGTGCGGCGGACGCCCTCGAAGGCCTCGTGGCGAACTTCGAGGAGCCCTCCTGGGAGCCCTCGCCAGCACCCAAGGCCGGTGCGGAGACAGCGAGGGGCAGGCTCGGGAGGCGAGGCGCGGGGGGGGCTCCAAGGGTCAGAGACGTCGGCACGCGCGCGTCGGAGCATGCGGCGCTGGGGTCAGACGTCCTTGCCGGCGGAGGAGCGCAGACACCGCTGGCACACCGTCAGGAAGATCGGGGAGCACATCGTCATGCCCCAGATGATCAGCCACATGGTGCGCGACGAGCGCTCGCCCTCCTTCGGAGACGAGCATCCTCCTCCTCCTCCTCTTCTTCTCCTCCTCCTCCTCCTCCTGCATCTTCTTCTTCCTCCTCTTCCTCCTCCTCCTCCTCCTCCTCCTCCTCCTCCTGCTCCTGCTCCTCCTCCTCCTCCTCCTCCTCCTCCTCCTCCTCCTCCTCCTGCTCCTCCTGCTCCTCCTCCTCCTCCTCCTCCTCCTCCGCCTCCTCCTCCTCCTCCCTCCTCCTCCTCCTCCTCCTCCTCCTCCTCCTCCTCCTCCTCCTCCCCCTGGCGAGGAGCAGCGCTGGACGTCCGAGGCCGTGCGGCGCCGAGCCCCCCCCCCCGTCCCCCCGGAGCCCCAGCAGGGGGACGCGGCGTCCGCCGCCCGCGGACAGCTGGGGATCCCCCGCTCCGGGGCGAGCGAGCGGCGGCACGCCCCCCTCGCGAGCGGTCGGGCCTGGGCCGAGAGAGCACCCCTCGAGGGCACGAGGAGGCCCGCCGCCGGCCAGCACACGCATCGGACATGCACGGAGGCACCCTCCCCAGGATGCACGGGAGTGGCCGACGAGCACGAAGAACAGGAGGGTTCGGCTACACGTAAGTGAAGGGGCCCTGAGACACACAAATAAATACACACACGCCAATAAATAGATTCCACATGTTTCCCCATATTTTCTGGGTTCCTGTCTTCCCCCCCACTTCCCATATTTTCCCATATTTTCCTGGGAGTCGGCGATTAATTGTGTCTGTGTGTTTTTTCACCTCCTGAGTAAGAGTGCCCCTGGGCAAGAGTGACCTTTGGTGCGCAGCTCAGCGGGGGACGCGGGGGGGGGGGGGGCCAAACATGGGCGCGCAAGCCGCTGCTATCGCATCGCATTCGGCGATTGGGGCACCCCATTGGGCCCGCACCAAAGGTCACTCCGGCGAAAGGTCACTCTTACGTCTAGTCGAAGGGTGCCCTCCCTGGACCGACCTCCACGTTGTGCCCCAGTCCGGCTGTGTCCTTGGGGCAGTAGGCGTCGAGCAGATGGCCCGAGATCAGGCCCACGGGGAACTTCGCGAAGAAGAGCGGGGCTGCACCCAGCGCGACAAAGGTACCCTCGCGGCCCTCTGGAGCCATACTGACCGTGAGGTCGTAGAAGCGTGGGCTCCATATGGCCTCCGAGGGATCGTCGTCGTCGTAGTTAGTTCTCTTCCTCTAGGTCGCCGAACTTCGCGAATCATGCCCCGCGATGTGCGACGCGCGGCTAGGTTCGGAGCCGCCATCCTGGAGAAGTGCGCCTCTCTGACAAAGGCCGCGATGCGCGAAGCGCGATTACCTTCGCGCCCCTCGGGTTGACCTAGCTCCACCTCCTCCTCCTCCTCCTCCTCCTTCCCCTTCCCTTCTCTCCCTCCCACAAATCCCCCTCGTCGGCATCATAATCAGCAGCAGCAGCAGCAGCATCATCATCATCATCATCATCATCATCATCATCATCATCATCATCATTATCATCATCAGCAGCAGCATCATCATCATCATTATCCTACTCCTCCTCCTCCTCATCATCATCATCATCATCACAATCATTGCCATCATCAGCATCATCAGCATCATCAGCACCACCATGACAACAGTCATCATCGTCAGCATCATCATCATCAGCATCATCATCAGCATAATCATCGTCATCATCGTCATCATCATCACAATCCACATCCTCCTCATCATCAGCATCATCATAACAGTCGCCATCATCAGCATCATCATCATCAACAGCATCATCACCATCACCATCATCATCAGCGACATCATCATCATCATCATCATCATCATCATCATCATCATCATCATCATCATCATCATCACCATCATCCAAATCATCAGCATCATCAGCGTCATCATCGTCATCATCATCAGCATCATCAGCATCGTCATCATCATCAGCAGCAGCATCGTCATCATCGTTATATCATCAGCATCTTCGGCATCATCATCACCATCATCACCATCCTCATCATCATCCGCATCACCCTCATCATCAACATCATCCGGATCATCAGAATCAGCATGATCATCATCATCAGCAGCATCATTATCGTCATCATCATCACTAACATAATCGCCATCATCACCGTCACCATCATAACCACCACCATCCTCATCAGCATAATCATCATCAGCGTCATCATCATCATCATCATCATCATCACCATCATCACCACCACCATCCTCATCATCAGAATCATCATCAGCAGCAGCATCATCACAATCACCATAACCATCACCATCACCTTCAACATCACGACCACCACCACCATCACCACATGACCATCATCGGCATCATCGGCAGCATCATCATCAGCCCCCTGGTGGTGCGGCGTGCCCCGAGCGCCTCCCCCAGGGACAGTACCACCACGAACGTGATGGCGGCCGGAATCGAGGTGCTGAGCGCGAGGGGCAGCGCGGACATGCCTGCGGGGAACTCCAGGGGCCACAACTGTTCTTCCGTCGGCGGCGAGGCAGAGGCAGTCCGCTCCAGCGTGTGGCTGCTCGGGGCAGACGGAAGGCGAAGTGACCGAAAAGCCCAGAGGCCACACACCCTGCGCGCGCCTCCCCTCTCAAGCCAGCCCCCGCCCCCTGGCCTGGGCCGGCAAGAGAGCAGGGAGGAGGGGCCCGCGAAAAGGAAGCACCGGGTCCTGAAGGGGGCGGGCCCTGGGAGGGTCCCTAGCCGCTCTCAGGACGCTCGAGGCCCTCCACGGGCCACGGGGCACTGAGAGACAACTCGGGGCCAAGAGCCCCGGGGATCTAGGGCCTCGGCTCCCTCAGGACCCCGTCCCTTCGTGGCGAGAAAGGACAGAGGGAGGCAGTGTGAGCCCTCGAGCACCAGAGATGTAGCCGCCGAGGTGGATCATGTCGAAGTGGAGGTACTCGGTGGTCAACGCCGATACCAGCGGCACCAGCAAGATAATCATTGCAGGGTTGATCGAATTGATGGTGCCCTTGGGGGTGTAAGGACCAAACTCTCGTACAAGGTATGTGGGCAGCACGGCGTCCAGATATCGGAATATCATCTTGAGGTTTATACAGATAACCTGCGGGCCCGAGAGCTGAACATATTCAAAGCCGCCCTCCGCCACCCACTCCTCCTCCTCCTCCTCTCCTCCTCCTCCTCCTCCTCTCCTCCTCCTCCTCCTCCTCCTCCTCCTCTCTCCTCCTCCTCCTCTCCTCCTCCTCCTCCTCCTCCTCCTCCTCCTCCTCCTCCTCCTCCTCCTCCTCCTCCTCCTCCTCCTCCTCCTCCTCCTCCTCCTCCTCCCTCCTCCTCTCCTCCTCCTCTCATCATCCTCCATCATTCCTCCTCCTCCGCCTTCTCCCTCCTCCGTCTCCTCCTCCTCCTCCTCCTCCTCCTCCTCCTCCTCCTCCTCCTCCTCCTTCCTAGGAGCTGGAGGCGTTGGCGGGAGGGAGGTCAAAGATACGAAAGTGTCTGGGGCCCCAAAAACCGTTATTCCAAGGAAGCGCCAGAACTGCGGCAGATGAGAGACCTCTGCGGCGACCTGCCACGGCGTTACGAACTTCACGACCATGGCCTGAGCCTCCTCGTCGTCCTCGCTCACCTTGATCTCTCTGAAAAACAATGAGGTCAGCCCACCGGTGAAGCTAAGCACCATACCAGAAAGGATAATCAGCCGTCTTGGAGAGTAATAAGTCCCGAAGAGCGTCATGCCTGAGTTCAACTGTATCTCCATCAGATCAATGAGCAATCCGCTGCACAAAGCAGCGACGTTCATGACAACGTAAAAAATGCCGAAAGCAAAGCCCCGGTTCCTGCTCGTGGTATACCGTTTTATCCCCATTGACAGCACTGGTATGCCGAGGGAGCCACCGATGGGCATGAGGACAAATAGGACCAGTTTCACCACTGCTAGACTCTTCGCCGTCGCCAACAAGAATCGCGCAGTGGTCAGGATGGTGAAACCCGTGATCAGGCTCACACGGACGCCAAGGCTGTCCACCACGAACCCCATGATGAAGCTCGCGAGGCCGGTGAAGGCGCCGTACAGGCCGTACACTGTGCCCGCCTGCACGTCGCTGAGCCCGAATTCGTCGCTGAGGTACAGCACCAGCAGCATGGATATGGAGAAGTAGCCATAGGACTCCAGGAACTTGAGCACGTAGACCAGCCAGAGCTCCCGGGGGCACACTGCCAGGCCGCCGAAGCTCTCCCGCAGCGCGTGCAGCATCTGGCCTCGGCCCCTCCCCGCGTGGTGGCCGGGCTGGCGTTCCCCGGCGTGCGGCGCCTGCCCACGGGCAGCCTTATGGAAGGGCGCCTGTGGTGCCCGCAGCTCCCCAGGGCACGCCTCGCATCGGCCGGTGGCGCAGCTCCGCTCCGACGGGGGGAGGCCTCGGGGCCTGGCCCTGGTCCGATAGGGCCGCTGGGGGGGTGGGCAGGGCTTCCAGGGCAAGGGGGCGGGGCGGGGGAGGGGAGGGCGGGAGGGGCTGGCGCATGGAGGATAGGCAGGGGGCGCGGGACGACAGGCATGCGGGGGCGGCACGAGCAGGGAGAGGGCAGGGGGCGGCCCTGATCATCGAATGCTGGAATCCCCCGGTCGCGACCGACGAGATCGGAAGCTACAGATGTTGCTTCAAATTGTTCGGGATCGGTCGCGACCGAGTTGTTTCAAATCGGTCCCGACCGACCGGCCGCGATCGGTCGCGACCCCTCGGCCGCAAACGATCGCGCACGGTGGCGAACGGCCGCGATCGGTCGCGGACCTCTCGCGCGCGGCAGCCAAGGGGGGGGGGGCCGCGGCAGCGGGGGGGCCAAGAGGGCCACCCCCCTCCCAGGGGGGCCGCCCCCTCGGGCAGTGAGCGGATCACGGCGGGAGGTCTTCCACTCTTGTCGGCCTCTGGGGGCCCTCACGGGGCCTATGGGGGCCGCCAAAAGACGGCTCGGGATGAAAAAAACAGGCCCCGGGGAAGGGGGCGAAACCTCCTGGGGGTCGACGCCATGCAAAAATCCTGACACGTCGGGGGCCTGGGTCCTGCAAGCCCCCCCCACCCGCCCCCCACGAGCCGTGGGGGCGGGAGAGGCCTCGGAGGACGCGTCGCGGGGGGAGGGGGGCGCTCCCCAGACCCCCGACGTCATGATTTTTCCATGACGTCGACCCCCAGAGGTTTCGACCCCTTCCCTGGGACCGGCTTTTCATCCTGAGTCGTTTTTCGATGGTCCCGAGGCCCAGCAAGGGCCCCCAGGGGCTGAAAATGACGAAAAGCCTCCCGTCGTGATTTTTGTCACTACTCGAGGGGGTCTGGGCCCGTGGGGGGGGGGGAGGCCGGGGGCCGCGCCGCGGCAGCCAGGATGCCGCGACGACAGCGGAGGGGCCACGGGCCGCCCCCCTCCCAGAGCCCCCCCCCCACCCCCACGACGGGCGCACGGGCGCCGCGAGGAGGCGCGCCGGGGGATTCGGCCCGCCGAGAGCGCCGCGGGGGCGCCGGGGCGCCGCACGCACCCCAGAGCTGGAGTTCCTGCGCACAGCTCCGATGCACTGTTACAGTGCGGCCTTGCGGCTGCTTTCGCCGAGGCTTCTCCAGGGAGAGTAGGTCCGAATCGGCTGACGGCCGCGCTGTGTCGAGGCCAATTGGCCCGATGACGACCAAGTTCTAGGTGCCAGATGCAGATGTTCTAGGTGCCACTTAGGGCGGTTTAAGTTTTGTATTGGTGTCCTATCCGAAAAAGATGTGTCGGGGATATGGACAGACCCCCCTTTAGCGAAGCGTGTCTTTAGGGAAAACGACCTGGGGCCCAAGCCTGGCGGGCGCAAGCCTGGAACAGAACGGCCACGGCACCCTCTCGAAAGCCGAGAACGGACAATTCACTCATCGACGTGTCACTGTTGGGCTCACCAGATCTGTTGTCCTATGCACAGAATATCAGAAGCCCCCCCCCGAGCCCTGGAAAAGTCACGACGGGAGGCTGTTCGCTCTTTTCTGCCAGCTGCACGCAGGGGAGCGACCCTGGGTAAGAGTGACCTCTGGTGCGCAGCGTTCGGGGAGCCGCGGGGGGGGGGGGGGGGGGGGGGGCCAAACCTGGGCGCGCAAGACGCATCGCATCGCACCGCATTCGTTTTGGTTGATCCAGAAGGGGATCCAGCTGAAATGTGGGCGCTGCAATAGATTTGGGGCAATAGTGCTGCAATGTACTGCGCCGGAGAATCGTATTGCAAATAATCAATGTATAGCACGCGAAAATCCAGCAATACACTAGCGCCCCGGAGTGCACTGCACGCCCCGTCGATTGCAACCCACAAATCGGTTGCACCAGCTCTATTGCGCCCACCCCCTTGTAGCTGGACCCCCTTGTGGGTCAACCCGAACTCGGCGATCGGGGGACCTCACTGTGGGCCCGCACCCAAAGGTCCCTCCGGCAAAAAAGGTCACTCTTCCGTGTGGTCGCTTCTCGGCCGGCCAGGGGGCCTCGGGCCATGGAAACAAACCACGACGGGAGGTTTGTCGGAGGACGCGTCATGGTGGGGGCGACGAATGGAGAGGCAGCGAGGGCTGCAGAAAAGGGCTCCTCTCGGGCCCCAGAAGGGGCCCTTCGGAGCCCAAGAAGGGGCCTTCCCAGGGCCCGAAAAAAGGGCACCTTCCCCCCCCCCCCCCCCCCATTCATCGCACCCCTGTCCGCACCCAAGCTTTTCGCTGCTCTCAGCATGGGTAGCCGGGCCTCGGGACCGTCAAGACCTGCAGGACGGGAAACCGGTCTCCCGGGGAAGGTTATGCTTCATCCTCGGGAGACCTTGCCTGTCCCGTCGCGGTCCGGTCCGAGTCGGATCCGTGCCGAACCCGCGCCGAATCCGCGCCGAGTCCGCGCCGAGTCCGCGTCGAGCCCGCGTCGGGCGCAGGAAAAGATGCCACTCTTGTGGGGGGGGCAGGCGAGGCCCCCCGAAGATGGCAGCGCAAGGACCCCGGGGGGCCCACGCGGGGAGACAGTCCTGACGTCGGGGGGGCCCGGGGCGCGGAGGGGCCCGGGCCGCCCGCCGTCGCGCGCCGCGCCCCGCGGCGCGGAGGCGCGCGGTTCTCTCTTCGGGCCCGCTCGCCCTCGCGGCCGCCCCCTCTTGGAGCAGGGCGGCCGCTCCGGTCCGGGCCGCGGCGCGAGGAGCGCGGTGCGCTGTAGGCGCCCCCGGGGGCGGCCCGCACCACCCAGGGCCGGGCCGGCTGTCTGCGAGAGGCTGCTTCTCGGGGGTGCTGGGCGCCAAAGTGTAGGGAGTCCTGCACTTCCTACGTGGGAGCCAAAGTGTTGGGACCACACTTTCCTGCGTTCCCTACGACACAGCGAGTTGCAGGAAAGCGCGAGCCACGCGTCCCCACAATACCGAAGCCTACATCGACGTTACCTACATCGCCGCTAGCCCGTCTACGGACCACTTCCCCCCAAAGAAGGAGCGCAACTCACGAGCGCGGTCCGTCTCGCCGCGCCCCAGAATTTCTCAATGTTCACGGAAAGGCGCCGTGCGAGTCGACTTTTCTCTGTCGTCGGCCGCGGCTGACCCGACATTGAGATCGGAAGCTGGGGTGAAGGAATGGGGGGGGGGGGGGGGCAAATTGGCCGGCCCAACGGGCCAGAGGCGTGCTAAGATCTCCGGTAACATCTATACAATATCCTCCGCGCGCGCGGGGCGGCCCCCCTGGGGGTCCCAGGACCAAAAATACCCCGGGCGCGGCCCGGGCGCGGCCCGGGAGACTCCCCCAGAGCTCTCAGAATCGCCCCAAGAGGGCCCCAAGAGGCACCCAACACAGTCCAAGAGAGGCCCGAGACGCCCGAAGATCGCTCCACGACGCCCAAGATGGCATCGAGACAGCCAAAGAGGCTTCCAAAATGGCCCTAGAGGCTTCCAAGATGCCCCAAGAGGAACCCCCAGAAGCAAAAGTCATTGCTTTCCTTGAGGTTTTGGACAGATTTGGGCGTTTCCGCCTTTTCGGCTTCCCGACGCCCCTAGACGGCTCAGGAGGCCCCCAGGATCGCCCCAAGAGGGCCCAAGAGGCCCCCAAGAGGGCCCCAAGACGGCCAAAGACGGCCCAAGACGGCTCCAAGACGGCCCAAGAAGCCCCCAAGACGGCCCAAGAGGGCCCCAAGAATGCCTCAAGAGGGGCCCCAGAAAGGGAACACGAAACAAAATCTCGAACTCTCGGCCCTCAGAGGCCCCCAGGAAGCCACAAGAGGCCCCCAAGAGGCCCCAAGAGGCCCCCAAGATGCCCCCAAGACGCTCCAGGAAGTCCCCAAGAGGCCCCCTAGAGGCCCCCAAGCGCCCTCAGGAGGCACCCCAAATGCCCCCCGAGCACTCAACCAGCCAGCGATCATCCTCCTCCTCCTCCTAACCCTCCCTCCTCCCTTCCATCGTCATCCCTCCTCCCTCTTGAGCCCCAAGGGCCCCCACAACAGCCCCCAAGAGACATCAAGAGGCTTCAACACTGCCTCCGAGAGACTCCTGAAACGCCTGCCAAGAGAACCCCACCAACGCCGCATCGACGACGACCCATCGGGCAAACAGCAGAGATGAGATTACGTGGGCCGGCGGAATGAGCGAAGCGATTACGTAACATGATACGCATATAAGAACAATTAATACATAAATAGATAAATCACTAAATGAAGAAATACATGAATGAGTAAACAAATATATATATATATATATATATTATATATATATATATATATACATATATATTATTCTATGTGTGTGAGTGTGCACAGCCTGCCTTGGGGGGGGCAGTGGACGAGGGAAGAGAAGCGGCAGGGGAGAAGAGGCTGTCCGTGCCCCACGCTGCGGGGGCCGAGCCCACGGACGGCCCCCTGCGGGCGCAGCATGCACACCGCCGCCGTCCGCTGCCCGCTCTCGCCGCCGTGGCTGCTGCCGGCGTCGGCGGAGCCGTCTGCGGCGTGCGAGCACCATCATCGTTCAGCAGCAGCATCAGCATCAGCAGCAGCATCATCATCAGCATCATCATCACCATCATCATCATCAGCAGCATCATCATCACCATCATCAGCAGCAGCAGCATCACCATCACCATCAGCATCATCAGCATCATCACCATCAGTATCATCATCATCACCATCAGCATCATCATCAGCATCATCAGCATCACCATCACCATCAGCATCATCATCAGCAGCATCATCACCATCATCATCATCATCAGCATCACCATGAGCAGCAGCATCATCACCACCACCACCACCATCCGTAGCCATTGTGGCTCGAGATGGCGCGATTGCGGGCAAGGATGCGGTGCTCAGGGCTGGCCTCTGCTGTTTTCTGGGCGCGGTTCCCCCAGTGTCTCCGCATCTCTCGCGCGGCCTCGTCTTTCTCAGGGGGGGGCGGTGACCGAGACTCTGCCCGAAGATCTGCCCGAGTGTGAGCGAAACCGGCACCCGAGCGTCCCGGAACGCGCCAGAGTGTGACCGAAAGACTTGGCTCGAAACCAGAAACAATGTATAATTGGGGTCACAACGTTGGTCACACTACGCTTTTCGGTCGCAGGTTCGGGCAAGATTTCGGACACGTGTGCTTCCGTCGTATGCCTTTTCGGCGACATCTCTGCTCCTCTGGCCTATTCGCTCCACTCCGACCGCACTTGGGACTGCCAGTTGCCGAATCATTCGCTCTCTCATGCTGGACCACTGCTTATAGGCTTCTCTCTGCTACTCAGTCGTCTAAACTTTCCCACTACTGCCCCACATTCATATAAGATTCCTCAAGGCCATCCTCAACTACCACGGTAGTTTCAGATCGCGCATGTCCTCGACCTTGGAATTCTCTGCGAGGTATTGTGCAATGCAGTGCCTTCCGTGCGGCTCCTGAACTAACGCTTGCAGTGCTATGCGTTGCTTTGAACGTCCTTGCACGGGCATTCTATCACTCTCGAGTTGTGTCGTGTACTTGCGTGTGCAGCGCTCTGCATTGATTTGCACAGAACTGCAACGGTTTGCAAATCTGTTCGGTGCATGTGGTGTGGGCGTTGCGCTGCCCTGTTGCGAGACGCATTACGGAAAGAGCATTGGATGAGGAACCATTGGATAAGAAATCCAGTGTCTTGAAGACGGTGGAACACCAACTTAGGCTTGGCCATGAATATCACCACCGCCCCCATCAGATAAGGAATCTTCCAGGGCCTGAAGCGTCATGGGCTCATGCCTTAACAAACACCCCCACCGTAAAGGCCTTTGCAGCGCCTCGCAATGCACTACATTGCACCTGTTCTCGTTGCTGGAGCTAGATGGATTCGTTATTTCTACATCGTAGAAGGAGTGAGAGAGAGAGAGAGAGAAACAAAAAAAGAGAGAGAGAGAGAGAGAGAGAGAGAGAGAGGGAGAGAGGGCTGAGGCAAGGGCGTCGCGCCTCTACGGCATCGTGGGTGTCACTGATCTGCTGCAGCTGTTGGAACACCTGCACTGCGGTGCGAAACGTCGCGCGGGGACGGAGACAGAGCTGGCGATACAAGCGGGAGCAAAGAAGGATCCAGAGGCAGCGTCGGAGGCGGTCCTCCGGTCCTCCTCCCTCCACCCCTGAACTCCTCCCACATGGCAGGGGCAGAAGACAAGAGAAGTAGATAATCGAATTGTGCGGCGCGAGAAAGATTGAAAGAGAAGATTAAAAGAGAGAGAGAGAGAGAGAAAGAGACATCTATATACATAAATAGATGGAGAGAGAGAGAGAGAGAGACAGAAACAAAGAAATAGAGCAGAGATAGAGAGAGACGGTGACACAGAAAGAGAGAGAGAGAGAGAGACGGATGCATAACAACTGAAGAAAGAGAGAGAGAGAAGAGAAACAAAAAACGAAATTGAGGAGAGAGAGAGAGAGAGAAACAAAGAGAAAGAGAGAGAGAGAACAACAAAACAGAGAGAAAGACAGAGAGAGAGAGAACAAACAAAAAAGAGCGAGAGAAAGCCCTTCCCAGGAGGTGCGGCTGCCAGACTCAGAGACTCTGCCAGGATGTGCCGCTCCGGCCCCGGGCACACCCCACAGCACAAGCCGAGGTCTCGCGACGCCGCCGCAGTCGACGGCGTCGCTCCGGCCCCTGCTTTGCCTCTCTGTCCGTCCGCCGTGTATACGTCCCCTTGGACGCGCGCTCCTCCTCCTCCTCCTCCTCCTCCTCCTCCTCCTCCTCCTCCTCCTCCTCCTCCTCCTCCTCCTCCTCCTCCTCCTCCTCCTCCTCCTTCTCCTCCGCCGTAGCCATTTTGGCTCAAGGCCAAAATGGTGTTCATTTCACTGCCGATCTGGGGTAGGCTCCCATAGCTTTCAGTGCTTTTCGCATCTGCAGCCACACTCACGGGCGAGCTGCCGCCCACCGCAGCTACACTCAGGGGCGAGCTGCCGCCCAGTCCATCTTCCTCCCTTGCGTGGCTCGCGAGAGCTCCCTGGGAAGCAGTGGGACGATGGCCGCCGCAGACCGCGGTGGAGGGACCGCCCCTGCCGACGGAGGAGCTGCCGCCAATGGCGGCACCAGGCCGCGACGTGCACGCCCTGAAGGTGGACGAGGCTCGCCAGCAAGGTTCGCTGGCCAGTACACGGTCTGCAAGCAGTGCCGATACCGATTGACGTGGAAGGGGAAGTCCGAGTGCCTCCACTGTGGCAAGCAGCTGGCCCCATCACCGGCCGAGCACCGCCAGCCCACAGGGGCGTGGGCAGGAGCCAGCAAGCCACCGCCGTGGAAGGAGCAGCCAGTGGCCGCCGCCCTGTCCAGGGACGCCATCCTCGCCACGCTCAGCACGCTCCTCAGCGACACCAAGCACGCCGAACTCGCCGGCAACCTCAAGGACGCCTTCCAGCAGCCCGACAAGCCGCAGCCTGCCCGCACAGCAGAGCAGGTGCTCCAGTCGGCGCTGTCAGTCCTCACAGACAGGGAGAAGAAGTTCAAGCAGTCGGTCGACGACGTCGAGGCCGCCAAGCAGTGGTACGACGACGCCGTGGCCAAACAGGAGCAAGCTGCCCTGGACCTCGTCCAGGCACAGAACGCATGCGCCAAGGCGCAAGCGGACCACAGCGCCAAGCTTGCTGGAGCTGCACGCGGAGCACCACCAGTGGGACCTCAGGAAGCCTTCAAGGTCGACAGCTCTATGTGGGACGACCTCTCCATCTACGACGAGGGCACCCGCGCCCAGATGGAGCAGTGGAAGCAAGAGCTCGACCAGCGCCTGGCCGAGCTCAACAATGGCCAAGAACAAGTACGCGAACTCCTACGCCAAGCCAAGGAGTCCACCACCAACCCTGCGAAGCGGAAGAAGCCGTGCCTCAGCAACCTCATCCTGAGCCTGCTCCCGCTTCGCCAGAGGAACAGCAGCCAGCGGCCGCACCTGGAGGACACGTACAACCTGGCACGCCAGCAGGCTCTGCCGCCCCTCCTGCTGAGCCACGCCAGCCTGGAGGGGCCCCTGGACCCGCAGCAGCCGCCCCTGCCGCCGACGAGCCCTCCGCGGAGGACCGCAAGGCCGCCGCCGAGCTCATCGCCACCGCCACCAGGGCCAGGGAGCTGGCCCACGCAGCTAAGGGCTTGGGCAAGGGCGCCACCATGGCGCCAGCGGCAGCGGCAGGAGCCCCACCGTCGCTGGGGTAGCCGCAAGCGGCCGCAGCGGCCGAGGGGGGCCTGGGAACCGCGCCAGTGGGCTCCCCACGGCAGGTGCACCCGCCCCTAAGCCCGAGCAGGCAGCGCAGATCCTGTTCGGCAACATAACGGCGTGGGGCCCGCAGGCCGCCAACTCCTGTCGCAACGCAGGCTTCAAGTACCACCTCATAGCGCTGGCGGAGACGCACGTCGACGCGAACGGCATCGCGGAGAAGAGTGGCAAGCTCGCCATGGACGGCTGGAAGCTGTCGGCCACACCCGCGGTGGCCACCAACAAATCGGACAAGGGGACCCATGGCGGCGAGTGGATCCTCACGCGCAGGGACGTGGCGGCGACCACGCTCGAGGACTACAGGGACTACTACGTCAAGGGCCACAAGAGGCAGCCGTTCGTGGGCTTCACGCCGACAGTCCTCCACTCCAAGAGCGGCAACATAGTCGTCCTGGCGGCGCACCTGCGCCCTGGCCTACGGGACCAAGGCGCGAACAGGGACATCCTGGTCTCCATCTCCACCTTCGTGGACATGCTCATGGACCCGTGGATCATCCTGGCCGACTGGAACTACGAGCCGCACTGGTGGGACAACAAGCCGTGGCTCACGCGATGGAACGGCACCATCCTCACCGACCCGAGCTGCGAGGCGACGTGCGACAAGGGCTCGGGTTCCGTGTGCGATTACGCGATCGTACGAGCGGACATCGCCACGCACGTCGGGATCGAGGCCATCCATCTACGACGTCCCCTGGAAGACCCACTGCGGCATCCAGGTCACGGTGGGCACCGCCGAGCCGTGGCAGTACAAAGCTATAAAGGTTCCCAAAGCCCTCCCCGCACGAGCCAGACCCAAGAAGGTCGCGGACCCGAGCAGCAAAAGGTCCAAGGCTCGTGCGGAGGCGTTGCGAACCAGGAGGGAAAGGCTACCAGAGCACTTGCGCGACGAGTTCGACGCCCTCTACATCAACCGCGAGACGGCCAAGGAGGACCCCACCCCCTTCGTCATCCCCCAGCAGAACTGGGACGCAGCCGCCGACGAGGTCAGCAACTTCCCGAAGTTCGATGGCGCAAAGGCCGGCACCAAGGAGGGCAGAGGACACATCTTCCACAACCACGCGCCGAACCTCGCGGAGAACATCAACTCGAAGTACGCGCAGTGGATCGCGACCCTGGAGCTCGCCGTCCTGGAGACGCACGCGGTCCCCGACGAGGACAGGGCCAGGTACCAGGGCAGGGCAGGGGGGCACAGGACCACCAAGCAGACGATGAAGGCGTCGCCTGGCAGAGCGTACCTCAAGGACCCCGAGGCTACATGGTGGCAGCACCTCAGCACCCTCGTGGCGAGGTACACCGCGCTGGTCACCAACGGCAAGGACCCCAAAGCCCGCCAGCACATCCACAAGACAGCCATGAAAAAGCTGGACGACCTAGAGAACCCTGAGTTCTCCAAGGAGCACTTCGGCAGGAGAACCGACCCGCAGGAGATCGAAGAGTGGAAGACCCAGCTCGTCACCCTCGAGTACTGCGACGTGGCTGACTTGCACCACAGCAGCGCCACCACCATGGAGTGGACCCACAAAGCTATGGCGAGAGCTGCAGGCAGAGCGCGAAAACGGTATCTCGACTGGGCGAAGCAGGCGTGGAAGGACTCACCAGGCAAGCTGCACCGCATGGTCACCGACCCCAAGGCGCCGCGCCTGAAGGACAAGCAGCCTCAGAGAACGGTGGGCGACCCATCCACGCTCATGAACCACTCTGCCGACACTTGGCGCTCCATCTGGGCGTCCGACAGCTACAACGCCAAGCAGATCATCAGCGCATACGAGAAGGCCATGCGGCTCGCGAAGGAGGACCCCCTTTCCGCTGATCGAGCCGCAGCACATACAGGCCATAGTGGGCACCGCCAATCCGAGGAAGGCGAGAGGAGTCGACAACATCTGCCCTATCGACATCCAGAGGCTCCCCGAGAAGGGGATCCAGGAGCTCGCCGAGATCTACAACCAGGTGGAGGCCAACGGACTGTGGCCTCAGCAGCTCTGCGCCACCATTGGGGCCATGGCCCCCAAGCCCGCAGGTGGAGAGAGAATCCTGGGCATGCTCCCCACAATCCCCAAGACGTGGGCCAAGGTCCGCTCTAGTGTCACCGACGAGTGGTCCAAGGAGCTCGGGGAGTTCTGGGACACCGCCATCAAAGGCTCCAGCGCCTTAAGGGCAGCGCTAGTCAGGGCGCTCCTTGACGAGACGGCGGCGACCCTTGGCATTGCTTTCGCGACCTTGCTGATGGACGTAGGGATATTCTACGACTCGGTCTGCTACGCGGCCCTCTTCGACGCCGCGATCGGGGTCAACTTCCCCCCGATTGTCGTGGCGCTGGAGGTGCAGCTCTACATCGCGCCCAGACTTGCGGATGCACGGCTGGGTCGACACCATAGACGCCGGGAGGTCCATAGTCGCGGGCAGCTGCAATGGCGGCAAGCTCGCCAAGGTCTACCTGGGGCCGATCCTGCAGAGGGCCCACACCAACAACACGCACGCTGGCCTGTGGACGTTCGCGGACGACACTGTCGCGAGAACAGAGGGCCAAACCAAGCAGGTCATTAGGGATCTCATCGGGGTTGGCGCCGACCTATTCGAAGGCATGACGGGAGTGGGGCTCCGAGTCTCCCCCAAGACCACCGTCGTCGCCTCCAGCCAGACGATCGCCTACGCAGTGCACGACGGCCTCAAGAAGAAGGGCCACCACGTCAAGGTGGCCAACAGCGCGGTCGACCTCGGCATCGACGTGGGAGGCGCCAAGAGACGAGTTGTCGCCAAGGCAATCAAGAGAGCCAGAACCGAGAGGAGGCGCACTCACCGCATCATCGCCAAGGTCAGGAAGCACGCCTCCCTCGCCAAGATTGCGAAGGGCTTGTGGAACACGGGATCCAGGCCACAGGGGACCTACGGCCACCAGATCATGGGCCTCGCCCCAGCGGCCATCCTCGACCAGAGGCGCCAGGCCGTCCAGGCTTCGGCGGGGGAGGTCCCTGGCCGTTGTCTCTCCACAGCCCTCGCCGTCGTCATGGGGAAGAAGGACCCCGCCATCGAGCTCAGGCGCCAGTCGATCGCCGAGTGGCTCAACTTCTGGATGCAGCACCCAGAACACCATAGGCGGGTCACGCATGCGTGGAAGCTGATCTACGACAAGTCGATCAAGCGCGGCAACAAGAAGTGGAGGAAGGTCAAGGGGCCCATCTCCGCCATCCAGGCCATCCTCCTGGACGCAGGCTGGACCTGCCCGACGCCAACGGAGTGGTCACGACCGCCGTGGGCAGGCGAGACCTACACCCAGGAGTGGCAGCTACCCCACAGTGGACACGCCGACTGGGAGGACAAGCGCTACGACGTGGACCCTGCGGAGTTCGTCCACGAGTTCTGCCTGTCCCTTGAGAAGAGCCTCTGGAGGGATGCTGCCAAACATCCACATGGAGAAGGATTGCAACGGGGGGGCCCAGACGTCCACATAGTTGCCAACGAGATGGAGAGGCTCACGAGGAAGGGCCAGTACGACCAGGCGGCCCTCAACCTCTGCGCGGTCGCGGGGGCGCAATGGCCCAGAAGCCGACTCATCGACGCGGGGCACAACGCCACTCCAACCTGTCCGAGGTGCGGCGGGGCCGACGAGACGCTCATGCACAGGGTCTGGCTGTGCCCCTGCAACCGCGACCACGAGGACTACACGGATCCTGACGCCCTCATGCCCTCTGCCCTGGCTGGAGCAGAGGCTGCCCCCGCATACTGGCTCCGCGGCCTGCCTGCGTGCGCTGACACGCACCCGCTCTTTGCCTCATTGGGAGGGGACGGCGGGTGGAGCTGGGTTGGGCGGGACCGGGAGGATTGTTTCAGCAGAGACGGCACCCTCACTCTCTTCGGGGACGGCTCTGGAGGTCAGTACAGTGATGACCCACGACGCCGAAGAGTGGGGACCGCCTGTGCTGCTATGAAGTGCCTCTTCGGGGAGTGGGTCCCCTGGGGAGGCATCATTTCAGGCCTCGAGGGCCCCTTTCAGACTGTGCCTCGTGCTGAGCTGCTGGCTTTCGCGCTCGCCCTAGAACACTGGGAGGGCGACCTCTTTTTTATCACAGACCACCTCCCGTTATATGACGGATGGCGGTCGAATCGACACTTGCGCCCCCACGATGGCGCAAATCAGGATTTGTGGGCACGTATTGCCAAAGCAAGTCGCGCACGTGGTACTAGGCAGCTTTCTGTAATCTGGGTGCCCTCGCACAGCGAGGAGTCACCTGGCCTTGCCTCGGACCCTGTGCGGTACTTTCACACGATCGGTAACGCGACGGCCGATGCACGGGCAGGGGTAGCGGCCCAACAGTCCTACGAGGCAGCGCTCGTAGGACAGGCCCCTCCCACAGACCTGCACGATGCCCAGTGCACCCTCATCCGCAGGAGGGCGCGCCGAGCCCTAGCTGACACGTTTGCAGTCGACCCCTGGGTGGCGGAGCGACCCTCGCAGGCCAAAGGCCCGCGCCTCACCAAGCTGCAGCTAGCCATGCAATCGAGCCAGCACGCCTTTGAGCTCAGAGCGGGCAAGTACCTCTGCTCTCGGTGCGGGCTCACCACTGACAAGTGTAAAGTACGCCAGGCCTGTGCCACGCCGTGCACCCACCAGCCGCCCCTCCCGTCTGCCAGTGACCAGATAGTGCCAGTACAGGGCACCATCTCAATTGCTGGCCGTGAGCTGCACGCCAGCCACAAGCTTCATTTCATGCAGAAGTACCGCCTGTACTTCTGCCGCGGGTGCGGTAAGACGGCTACTGAGGACCCACGCCACCTTGCCGCACCTTGCGCAGGTATCACCAAGAAAGGGCGAGAGAACCTCGCCAAGATTGACAAGGGTGAATTCACTCGCGCCCACGCGGGGCGCGATGGCCTCACCAAATTCCTGCGCGCAGCTACCCACGGCATGGCCGTGGAAGAAATTTCAGCTGCCACCGCGCCTGCCGCAGCAAGCGCCGCTCATGGCCAGGGCTAGTATGCGTTTGGCATCGCCCGAACCTCGCACCTGGGTGCGCTCGGTCTGTTCCTCTGTTCCTCTGTTCCTCCTCCTCCTCCTCCTCCTCCTCCTCCTCCTCCTCCTCCTCCTCCTCCTCCTCCTCCCCCCCCAGAGGAGGAGGAGGAGAGGAGGAGGAGGAGGAGGAGGAGGAGGAGGAGGAGGAGGAGGAGGCGGAGGAGGAGGAGGAGGAGCGAAGATGGAGGAGGAGGAGGAGGAGAGGAGGAGGAGGAGGAGGAGGAGGAGGGCCTGCTGCGGCGTATGCCGACGAGGATATCCCGCGCACGCACGCGCTCTCCCAGGAGGCGCCGCTGGCTGCAGCGAACGAAGTAGCAAAACGGGGGGGCCAGCTCGGGGAGGCGATGCATGGGCGCTCGGGGGTCGACGCCTTCCACCTGGAGCCTGTCCGCACCTGGTTAAAGTTGCCCCTGAATGGATTCTTCGAGTGGGTGCACGAGTTGTGCTCCATCCTCCTCCTCCTCCTCCTCCTCCTCCTCCTTCTCCTCCTCCTCCCTCCTCCTCCTCCTCCTCCTCCTCCTCCTCCTCTCCTCCTCCTCCTCCTCCTCGCCTCCCTCCCCCTCGAGAAGGAGGAGGAGGAGGAGGAGGAGGAGGAGGCAGAGGAGGAGGAGGAGGAGGAGGAGGAGAGGAGGAGGAGGAGGAGGAGGAGGAGGAGGAGGAGGAGGAGCCCCCCCCCCCTCGCGCCAAGCCCTCCAGAGAAGAGGGCCCCCCCCTCCCCTCCAGAGAGTGCGCGCCGCCGGCCCACGGCATCCCCCTCCCCCCCGGAAGCTGTGTTGCATCCTCGGGGGGCCTTGTCTGTCCCGTCGCGGCCATGTCCGAGGCGAATCCGCGTCGAACCCGTCTCGAATCCGTGTCGGACTCGTCGGATCCGTGCCAGTTCCGTGGCGAATCCGCGTCAGATCCACGCCAAATCCGCGTCGAGTCCGCATCGAGCCCGCGTTGGGCACAAGGGGACAGGCGAGGTCCCCCGAAGATGCAACGTATAATGAGGACGCCTTCCCCCCTTGAGTCTATCCCCACCTAGTTAATGTTGCCCCTGATGATCTCCCTCGGGAGCACGAGGACGACGACGACGACGACGACGACGACGACGACGACGACGACGACGGGCAGGGATTTGGATGCTCATTCTGGGGACCTTCCTGGAGACAAACGCTCCACTTGTGCGTCGAAGCTGCGTCGAATGTCCGTCGATTTGAGCCGACCTTGAGTCGGACCCGAGTCGAACCTGAGTGGAACTTGAGTCGAACCTGAGTCCAACTTGAGTCGCACTGGGGTCCAACTGATAGGAGTCTCGAACAGAGCCGTCCGGTGGGCCCCGGGAAGGTCCCGCAGACGAGCATCTGGAGGGCTGGGCCTCCTCCGACGGCTCCCCGTAGAACACCAGGGCCACGTCGAAGTCCACCGCCGCGGCGTCTCGCAGCCAGTGGTCGCGCACCACCGGCAGGCACTGGCGGGCGGCCGGGCGGCACCCCCGCGGGGCGGGCGGCGCGGGGGGGGGGGAGGGGCGCAGTGCCGGCCCCTCGAGGGCGCCCCTGGGGGCCCCTTCCTGCCCGTACCAGAGGCCTCCTGGATGGGGTCGGGGCAGCTGGGGTCGGAGGATCGCCGTCGCAGCGCCGGCGCTTCGCGGCGCTGCGGCGGCGCTGCAGCGGCGAGGCACCGGCGAGGCATCGTCGTCGTGGGCGAGAGGCAGCGGCGACGTCGACGCGGAGCTGATCGGGCTCCGCCTCGAGCCGCATCGGCGATGCATCGGCGCTGCGGCACGAGCCTCCGACCCCGCCTGCT